CAGCTGCCTAAAAAAGACACACCGATTCCTAGGAACAACGTTTTTTTTTTCTCGGTAATCACAGACAATTTCTCTGAGAGACATCTCAGAGTGGAATGCCGGGATTGTTTTTCACTCTGGATTAATTTTTTAAAGATTCAAACTGATACTTGATTCATTCACATCGTTTCATTTCCTCGGAAGATATTGTCGATTGGAGACAATTTTTGATGGTCACTGAAGGAGGCAAACCATTCATCTAAATCTCGCAATAATCTGCGAAAAATCTTATTCATTAATCTATTATTGAATTAATCCCATTATGTGTAGGTCGCTGGAGAACAATGAAAACGTTCCAACCGTTTCAAACGAGTTGGAATGTTTTCTCTCTCCTTCTTCTCCATTTTTTTTCTCACTCGCACTCGTTAATTTTGGTGGAGGACGGGCACGTGTCAGCGCGACGGAGACGACAATGAGTGGGAGCGAGCGCGATACATATTCCTTTCTCACTCAGGGGGGGAATAAATATATATAATCGAACATTACTATAGTAAAAAAAAAAACAAAATCTGCACAATTATTCAATAGAATCACTGGAAAACTATAGAGTTTTCCAGTGACAGCGCTGGGATTTTCTATGAATTTTTTGACCTACGTGTCAATGATAAATATGTCGAGAAAAAGGAAAAGACTTTTAGATCATTAGATTGTGCATTCATTATACTATTGATTATAATATGGATTTTACATTCCTGACAATTATTACAAAATGCGAGGAGTTACCGTATTGAGAACCCCTTTCCGGTTATTGACAAATTTATGCTCGGGCCCTATCATACCAACAGTTCCGTACGCTCCATCGTAGTCCATGCGCCACCGCTACGATTTTTGTTGTTGAACACTTTACATTTGCCCTGTTCATCTCCCCTATAATCTCTGGTTCCCATAAGCCTCTCTGGCCTGTGCGGGTAACTCGGCAGTAGCAGTCCCGCTGTTACAGGGATAGTTTCGGAGGTGATTTTATATCCTCCTCGTCCTCAGCATGTTCTTAATGTTTTTCAGGTGATTCATTTACTGGCTAATTATTATTAAGGAATGAAACACAGAGGGTGTGACGGAGAATTAAATTCCCCATCAATCGATCCCCGTTGCATCCCTTAATCTCTGTAACAAAAAAATACAAACTACGACAAAGTCATGGGCCAGTGAGAAAAATAATTTTCTTCTCGGCGCATAGTGACTTTTCACCATACGCTCGCGAATTAAAAATTCACTTCTCCCCTCCTAATTGAGATTAAGGGATGAAAAAAGGGCAGTTCGACGGAGAATTAAATTCTTCATAAATTAACCCTCATTCATCCCTTAATCTCCGTAACAAAAAAATAAAAACTGCCATGAAAATCAGGGGCTAGTAAAAAAAAAATGTTTTCCCGGCGCACACTGACTTTTCACCATTCGCCAGCGAATTAAAAATTCACTTCTCCCCTCCTAATTGAGATTAAGGGAT